GCTGTGAATAATGCTCAATTGAAAGTCACGGAAAGTAGCTTAGAACTATTTATAGAAAGTGTTTCATATAATTCAAATGGCACAGCATTCAAACCACCAGCATTGTGTAAATATGGAAGTCTATGGAGCATTTTTAATCAGTTCCTATTTATTCCATATACAGCTGGTACATTTTTGTAATTCTTGGTGAGAACATTGATGGTGTTTTTCTTATTCTTATCTCTAGCGCAAACATGATTTGAATAACCCAAGATAGTTCTTGACCTTCCCACCCATTTCAAAAAGCATTTAAGACTGGAGACAGATCAAGATTTTGGAATCATTTAGACCCCTTGATGTGTGTAATGTTCTTTTTGGTAATAGCTGTATTGTGACAAAACAAAGGAAAACAATTAACTTCAATAACAGATAGCTTCACTGTATATGTAGCAAACAGACTCACTATTAAATTCTCTTTGAAACTCATATTTTTCTAGAAGGCTCAAAACTGCTTTTATCCAACTTCCAGAAATAATACAGCATTTTTAAGACCACAATAATCCATGAATTGAATTAATTACATCACTATTGTAAACGTTAACCATGCCTTTTTCCAAAAGAATGTTAACATGAATAAAAGATTTATGACAGTAAATGTAAATTACATGATTGTTACCAGAGTTGTAGGACCAGTGGTCAAAAGATTAGACTTCACTCTAAAGTGGCCAAGGTGATCTGCATCCTTTGGAGATTGAACGAGAAGGGGCACCCTCTGCATCCTTGTCCACTGTCTGTAGAATTCAATATGGGTACAAGATTTGATATTTTACATGGAACGTTGCATCACTTTACTGCAGAACTATTAAAGAGAGCAGAACTAAAAGAAAAAAATAACAATAAGAATGACAGAAAAGAGCACTTGTCTAGTTCCCATCAAATTAACTGGTATTCCTACATGGTGAGTGAGATAACGCAGTTAGTTAAAGCAATCAAAACATCAAAGTCAAGGATTCCGTTTTTGGCAGGGTAAACTCTTTCTTTTATAGTCAATAAAAATGCAAACCATTGAATAGAGTAATAACAACCTCTTCACTGCAGTGTGTAATATGGAACAAGAGAAAACCTCCATTCTAATAAAATATTTTACTATTATTTGTAATTCCGGACCTCATCAGTAACAGAGAAGTGCAGCAGGAATTTTATTAGCCACGGCTGACACCAGAGAGAATAAGGCACTTATATTCTTAGACTTTTTTTTAAATTCTTTCTTTTTAATATTTTTGCTACATATCAATTTTTTCTATATTAAATATAAATCCATGCATAACAAGGGATGTGCTAAGACCATCCCAGAATTTGGAAACTAGTGAATGATGACTGTTCTGTCGTGTTATTAACTGAATTTCACAGAGTATCCATTGGTATAATATAGCCACACAAGCAATGGTTCTGGTGACTGCAACATGAATGGAGCCGTCTACAAACATATTTTTAGACTGACATTTTACTCTTAGCATTTGGGATGCAATTTACATGGTTTCCTGTTAGTCAGTCTGCAGGAGGAAGATATAAACCTCAAGTAAATATATCACAACTTTAATATATACACATTAAAGGGACACTATAGACACCCACACCACTTCACCTCATTGAAGTGGTCTGGGTGCAGTGTCCCAGTTCCACTTAGTGCTGCAATGCAAATCATTGCTGTTTTTGTAATTATTACATTGCAGGACTAAGACTGCCTCTAGAGGCTGGACATCCTCATGCTTTGCATGTGCGTTAGGCCCCCTGTCAGGTGATCTCAGAGGGGGCAGAGCACCGACCCAGCACCGTGGGATATTGGCGCCGGAATTGGGTAGGTGATCAAATGGCTTTTTAATCCTGTAGATGCTGGGTGGGGGGGAGTGGGCGAGCGTAAGGGAGGTGGAGACCAGGGGGAACTATAGTGTTAGGAATACAAATTTGTATTCCTAACACTATAGAATTCCTTTAAATCAATCAGGAACTTATCCCAAAACATTTTGGATGAAGGATTACTTTAGCAAGCATTATGCAATGATTTTAATTGATATGCTACAATTTCACAGACAATGAAATAATAGCAGGAAACAGAACCAGATTCATAATTGCAAAGAAAAGGTGGATCACCTTCTGAATTTTTTTAAATCTGTAAACGCAGGTATAGTTTAAATGTATAACTTACAATTCCAAAAGAGCATAGAAAAGATAGTAACTAAACAATATGTGGTACACACTAAGTTGTAACTTTTTTGTTAAAATATCATAGTCACATGTGACATATGAGTCCTGGAATTGGCTCTGGTATAATGGGCCATTCTTGTCTATTTTCTTCAATTAATACAGTGTGAGTATAATCTTATTTGTGTCTTGACGATGTGTGAGTTTTGGTAGACAATTTCATTACTAGGGGAAGAAAGTACTGAGACCAGGGCCGTCTTTAACGCGGGGCAAACAAGGCAGCTGCTCTGGGCCCTTTTACTTCTGGGGGGTCAAAGGCAGCTGCCCCATGGGCGCTGCTGCCCTCAGCAACTTACTCTTCCCCCATGGGCCCTCGGTGCATCCTGTTGCCTACACACTAAGGAGGCACACCAGATAGCCCATGCACTAAAGGCCACCCGGTGGGCGTTTGTAAGCAGGGGCACGGTCACAAGCTGTGGCCCTTTAACAGCACAGTGCTTTTTGGCAGCACGGGAGGAAGTGACTGACGTGAGTCACTTCCTCCCAGAGAGCCGCGCGGGAGAGACAAGGGAGTCAGAGAGGAGGGAAGCTGGGCCAGATTGCAAGTCGGCAACCCCCAATAGCTTCAACCACCACTCTGGACACCAGGGAAGCAATCCTTCAAGGTAGGAAACGGGAAGTAGATTTAAAAGTATACATTTTGTGTGTGAATGTGTCAGTATGTCTGTGTGTCTGTCAGTGTGTGTGTCAGTATGTCTGTGTGTCAGTATGTCAGTCAGTGTGGATTTCTGTGTGCCTGCCAGTATATCTGTCAGTATGTCTGACAGTGTGTGTCTGCGTGTCAGTATGCCTGTCAGGGTATGTGTCTGTGTGTATGTCAGTGTGTTTGTGTGTGTCAGTATGTCTGTCAGTGTATGTCTGTGTCAGCATATCTGTCAGTGTGTGTGTGTGTATGTGTCTGTCAGTATGTCTGCATATGTGTCTGTCTGAATGTGTGTCCATATGTCTGTCAGTATATATGTGTGTGTATCAGTGTATGTGTGTGTGTCAGTATGTCTGTCCGTGTGTGTGTGTCAGTATGTCTGTCCGTGTATATGTCTGTGTAAGTATGTATGAGAAAGGTGTGATTGCATGCCAGGGAGTGGAGGGAGGGGATCCAGGGGACCCAAAAAATGCTTTGCCTAGGGTCCTAGTAGTATTATCCACAGATGGCAACTTCCTGGGATTGGTTCAGCTGTATCATCAAACATACATTTTAGACCATGTGACATATTGATAATACTAATAACACAAATAACTAACAGTTATATATTATAAGCATCTGTTTAATCACATTTGTTTACTCAATAAACACAGAATAAAATTTAACAGTTAGGAATTGGAATTGGAAAAATTCTCTAAAATAGGTTTTACTTTCAGTTTAACTATTTAACAATTTTAAATTCACTTAGAATTCCTGACAATTCTCAATTTAGTGAATAACCCTGTAAGAATTAAAGAAACAATATGTTTTATTTTTGTTTGTTTATTATAGTTGCCATTTAAGCAATTTTTACAGAGAAAAGTAATTTACCGTGTTTTGCTAAAGATTCATGTTTGGTCTGAAAACATTAGTACACTACGTTATTTGAATATTAATGGAAAACAGATATTGCATTTATGGTTTTCTGAAATGGTAGAAAATAGACAGGACTTCTAAATTGCATCCTGCTGAAAACCACATGTTTCTTCACTTAAGTGCTGATCTTTAAAATATGTTTGTGTATCATTAGTCTGCATAACCTCGATCTTTCATGAAACATCTTCCTGAGAAATATTATGAAGACAAAACTTCGGTATATTTCTTTGTACTTGTTCATTTATAGGAAAAACAAACAATAGCTTTTTGAAAGAGGGTTCATATTTACAGGTTATGTACTTTATAGTGTTGAATTGATCAATGATTATTTTCATTACCATTTGTAATCCATTTTTGTATTCTTCAGAAAGAAAAATGTTAGACCGTGGAGTGCCTAAAAGGCCATTTTCATTAAAAACAATCTTTTGTTTGATGAATCATATAAGAGTACATGAGAATGTGTTTTCTCGCTGTTTATACCTTTTCAATTTAAGTTAACTGATTTAATGGTATATAGGGTTTTGCAAAGATCAAGCTGTGGGTTTGGGATTTTTAGTAGGTCATGAAATTGGATATCGTGCAATAGTTATTCAGCTGGGAAACACAGCGAACAGAAATAATACATGAAGGATAATATATATATATATATACATATATATATATATATATATGTAAAATTAAAATCCATATTTTAACAGATATTTGCAGTTTCATGGTTCATAAGTGTCACTGTAAAGCCTCACTGTAAAGTCTTAAATATGACTTTCTAGCAATGGTTTTAAAGGAAAAATATATGCCAGATGTGATATTAAAGGGATACTCCAGGCAGGGCCGGATTAACATAGGGGCTGATGGAGCTGCAGCTCCAGGCCCAAGCCCATGGAATAGGCCCATTGATTTAAAAAAAAAAAAAAACTTTTTTTTTATTTTTTTTATTTTTTTTTACACACTACTCTTAGGGTTGTTCACCTGGCCATTATTTATTTATTTGATGCTGCCTGGCCGGTGCCGATATTCCTGTAATACTGGCAATACAAATGCCGGTATTTTTCTCAGTATAAACAGAGATTATTCTGCAATACCATTACCGTCCACTAGGGGTCGCTGTGTGTGTGGAGAGAGGCAGGGATAGGAAGTTACAGCATATACCTGCATTGCTCTACTCACTGATCCGCGGGAGAGCAGCTACACAGCACAAAGAGTCCAGACAGCAGCTCCTAGCCTGTAGAGACAGCCTACAGCTCAGAGATGGGAGGGATGGGATAAAGGCTGCAGGGGGACATGGGGACACTAAGACACTAGGGGACACTATGAGACATGTGGCACATTGAGACCTCTGGGGATGCTAAGACACTTGGCGACACTTAGCGACATGGGGACACAGACACACATGGGGACACTGAGACAAGGACACACACACAAACACACACATGGGGACACTGAAACACTAGGGGACACTGAGACACTAGGGGACATGGGGACAAAGACACACATGGGGACACTGAGACACCGGGAGACATGGGGACACGGACACTAGGAACATAATGTCCCCAAATGTCTCATTGTTCCCATGTCTCCAAGCCAGTGTCCCTGGTGTCTCAGTGTCCCCATGTCTCCCAGTGTCCCTAGATTCTCAGTGTTCCCATGTCTCCCAGTGTCCCTAGTGTCTATGTCCATGTCTCCCAGTGTCCCTAGTGTCTCAGTGTCCCTAGTCTCCCAGTATCCCTAGTGTCTCAGTGTCCCCATGTCTCCCAGTGTCTGTGTCCCCATGTCTCCCAGTGTCCCCATGTCTCTCAGTGTCCCTGGGAGACATGGAGACACAGAGAAATGGGGATATAGAGACATTGTGATGCATAGTCTCAGTGTCCCCGTGTCTCACAGTGTCCCCTTGTGACATGGGGACACTAGGAGACATGGGGACACATACACTAGGGGACACTGGGTGACATGGGGACACTGGGAGACATGGGGACACTGGGAGCAATCCATCTATACAGCAGAATCAAACTAAGTAGTTTTTTGGTGATTTCACAGAATTTTCTCTGTCACTTCTTGTGATTTACATCATGTGATGTCACGCATACATAATTAGTTATGTAAATTAGTAAGGCCTGCCATTTTTTTTTCCAAGAAAGGTGGCAACCCTAATTACTCTTCACATACTCTTGCTTAAGTATGGAAACTTAAGAGGGATATAGAGGAACAAAACTTGTGTGGACTAGCTGAAATTAAATTAGTTAAGGTAATGCCGACTTTGGTCTCTCTAACACTGTGCCATGTTCCCTTTCTTCTACACTCACTACATCCACCTTTTCTCTGTCTCAGACTGTATACCAGGAGCTTCTTCCTTTTAGTAAGTGGGTTAGGATAGAAGTGGACCTGCGAGTACTAGGGGACAGTCCTTAGAAAGCATAGAGCTAGCGCATCATTAGATGTATTTATGCCAAGGTCAGGAAGCTGTTGGCCAGCATGCATGATTGGCAGGCAGCCTTACATGCATTCATGCTAGACTGGCCCACCCTTTAACACCGCCCATTGACTTACTGCTTCACTGGACACTGCTGTTAGGGAGTATGGATTTACTGCTGTTAGGGAGTATGGATTTACTTGAAAGATGAAAGCATAATTTAGAGAGAGATTAGCATATTTTAAGAGAATCTGAGGTGTTTTTTTTAGCTGCATCCTATGAGTTTCCCTCCGGCAACATCTCCACCAGATACATAATGCTTGAGAGGTATGTCTGTTTCAGTGTTTTTGGTCAATAAGATTCTGTACTTAGGCCCCTCATAATTGTCAGCACCAGGCCCACTGGGCTCTTAATCCGGCCCTGACTCCAGGCTATAATTGACTTGATACCCAAAGTCTAATGCATTTTTCAAATAAAATTTTCCTAACATTTGTCAGTTTTGCAATGAGTTCCCAACAAACCTGGAGGCAGCTTAGTGAATTACAATGCTCCCAATGGAGCAAAACATATCACATAAACCATTGCAGCATTTGGCAGAAATTAAGGGCATCATCTTAAATAAATAGAACTGCAGCCTGTTATGCTCCTGCGATGTGTTCTACATGGTTGTTCAGTAAACTTCAAACTGAAGTGAACTGGAATCCTAATGGCAAAATTCAGGCTGAAATAGTTCGTCACTGACTGCACATAAACCGAGAGTCTTGACAGATTGGTTATTTTAGCCCCAGTTTCACCGCTCGGATTTTAATCTAGTTTAGTAAATACATCCCTCAATGATGGAGCTGGTCTAATGTGGCAAATACTTTTTGCAAATCACTACTGTTATAAGCAATTATGTGCACACAGACAAGACACCTACTTTAACCATAACCTATCCAAACAGCATAAATCATTGGGGTAGTTGGACAGTCTCCCAATTGTTGCATTATTCATAGTTCCCACTTATCTAAGTATTTTATATATTTATATATAAAGAATATACATAAAGATGTATAAACTAGTATTAGATTTGAATAGACATTTCTCAAGTGTGCATACAGGTAAGAGAAAAAAGAAATCACAAGATGATTGTGAAGTGGTCTAAAGTTAGCGGTAGCTTAACAGTCATATGTAATTCTAGTAGATTGTTACAACTATTATAAACTAGGAGGCCCCAACCTCCGAGGAGATGTCTGCTTTATTCTTAGGAAACATTTAGTAATTTAACATCAAGGTATGTGCTTGAGAAAATCCTCTTGATAAACCTGCAGAGGAATTATATGGTATTGAATCATCCTACAGTAAGTTTTACTGCGGACATATAGCTGGTTAGGTCCAATGTCAAGGTATGACGTGGTCATGAAATAAATGACTACCTTGTAGGACTGTATGCTAATTGGGAGATAAGTGCCTGCTCATGTTACCTGTACTTAGCTCACTTTACCTGTACTAATTATTCAAAGGATGAAAACATAAGTAAGTAAAAGTAAAAAAAAAAGTTTAATAAAGTAATTTAAAGGACCACTATAGGCACCCAGACCACTTCAGCTTAATGAAGTGGTCTCGGTGCCAGGTCCAGCTAGGATTAACCCTTTTTTCTATAAACATAGCAGTTTCAGAGAAACTGGTATGTTTATAATAGGGTAAATCCAGCCTCTAGTGGCTGTCTCATTGACAGCCGCTAGAGGCGCTTCCGCGCTTCTCACTGTGAAAATCACAGTGAGAAGACGCCAGCGTCCATAGGAAAGCATTGTGAATGCTTTCCTATGGACTGGCTGAATGCGCGCGGCTCCTGCCTCGCATGCGCATTCAGCCGGTGATGGAGGAAGAGGGAGGAGAGGAGGAGGAGAGCTCCCCACCCGGCACTGGAGAAAGAGGTAAGTTTAACCCTTTCCAACTCCCTAGAGCCCGGCGGGAGGGGGATCCTGAGGGTGGAGGTAACCTCAGGGCACTATAGTGCCAGGAAAAGGAGCATGTTTTCCTGGCACTATAGTGGTCCTTTAAAGTACTTAGATCATATGTATATATATATATATATATATATATATGTAGAGATGAAGGAGGTGGTCCGCACTCTCGGTGTTATAAAACGTAACTTTTATTAATTTACATTAAAATATGCAGAGTTCGTCAAAGTTTCAGTCCCGGTTTGGGACTTTCCTCAAGACAGCATAACATTGCATCAAACTGTCTGACATTATATAGAAAAAATGCGCAAACAGCATTTTGTGACCAAGTGGCTACTAAAAAATACTGGACATACCTCATTCATAATATCTTGGGTTGTCTACTTTTGCAAATGGTATACTATCATGGGGGTCATTCTCATTCCTGGGCTACCATACGGTCTCAAAGGCAACATAACCAATCTGGCGAACTTTAATGTAAAAAAATGGAAATGCAAGTCTTATATTACACTCTGTAACTTTTGAAAACACCATAAGACCTGTACATGGTGACCTGTAACTTTCCAAAACACTATAAAACATGTACTTGGGGGGTGCTATTTTACCTGTGAGATTTCACTGAATACAAATGTGTGCATTTTATTGCAGTAACAGCTAACAGTATTATGACATTCATAGTTAAAATGCCATGCAGTACTAAAGAAATATAATAAATCTTAATTTTTCAATTTTTTTTACATTTTATTAAAATTAAATTATGTTTAATAAATAAATATTTTATGTGACATGGAAGTCCTGTTTCTCCTGAATAAAATGATACATAATAAGTGTGGGTGCATTTAATACGAAAGAGGTGAATTATGGTTGGACAGACATATAGCGCAGATGCCAGGTTTGGTTTACGTTTTGTTTTGATCACAACTTGTACAACTGTCTCAGTCCTTAAGGGGTTTAAGTTAGCATTTATATTTGTTTGTGTGCTAAAAATGCAAAAAACAATTATGAAAGCTAACTTTGGCCCATGTTTGTGACTAAGTGGCTACTAAAAAATACTGAACATCCCCCATTTGCAATACCTTGGGTTGTCTTCTCTTGCAAATGGTATGCCATCATGTTGGTAATTTTCCTTCTTAGCTACCATACGCTCTCAAAGGCAAGATAATCAATCTGGCAAATTTCAATGTGAAAAAATGGAAAATCAAGCTTTATATTTGACCCTGTAACTTTCAAAAACACTATAAAACCTGTGTACACAGTGGTGTATTTTAAAATGGTGCTTCCCTGGGCATGACAGATCTCGGGCACCCCCTCATTTAAATGTACCCGCCCCTTCCTGCCAAGACCACACCTCTTTCTGTTAACTTACACACATTTTGACTGACAGACACACACTCACGGACTAGCAAATGCTCTCAGATACACTGACATACACACTCATACACTCACTGATTTGACACAATCTGACACACATACAATCAGACACACACTGACAGATTCATACACTCACTGACAGATGCATACACTTACTGAAAGACACGCACACAAATTCACTGAAACACACACACTCACTGACAGACACACACACTCACTCAAATTCATTGACACTCACATTCACTGACACGCACTCGCTCACAATCACTGACACACACACTCACTCACATTCACTGACACACACTCACTCATTCACTCACATTCACTGACACACACACACTCACTCATATTCACTGACACACACACTCACTCACTTCATCACATTCACTAACACACACACTCACTCACTGACATTCACTAACACACACACTCACTCACTTCTTCACACTCACTGACACACACACACACACAGTCACATTCACTGACACACACACAGTCACATTCATTGACAAACACACACATTTTCCCCCAACACTCACAATTATAATTATTATTTTTTTAAATTTAAATCCACCCAGCCTCCCTACTTTTGGGATAGCTGGGTGGATTTTTCACCTGGGGTCCAGTGGGGCTGCTGGCCGAGCTGCTGGGCAGGAAGGCAGCCGGACGTGCAGGCGTGAGTTTTCAGCGAGAGAACTGTGATCTCTCTACTCTGCTCCCTGTCGCGTCGCAGAGTTATGCCGGGAGCCGGACTGACGTCATCTTCCGGCTCCCGGCATCACTGCAGGTCGCGTGAGGG